GGGGGGGGGAAGTGGTTCGTGAGAATCAAATCTGGCAGAGGTTGCGAAATGCAGAACAGACACTTTTGGAAGGTAAGTTAGCTACGTCCTAGTACTAAGCATGCTAGCCTAGAATGGTCGGGGCGCTGCTGACGCTGGAGCCGTTGTCGGAGTCAACCCGACATGCCCGCGGCGCGGCCACTCCGTCAGGCTCGGTGGGTGGGCTGTGTTTTGATTGATCGGTACTGTACCTTTATTGATAAGGCTACTTTACTTGCTCTGGAACCTCCTCTTCCTCCCACTTCGACCCAAGTTTCCAAGCACTACAATACCGAAAGCTTAAAATCCACAATGCGATTCCTCTGTCTACACGGTGCTGGGACCAGCGGAGAAGTACGTCTGTCCATGCAGTCTTGATCTACATTCAAGCCCCCCCCCCTCCCCCTCCGAATATATTTGGTGGGGCACAACAAGTTGACTCGCGGGCATCTAGATCTTCGAGATCCAGGCTGGTATGCCGTGCCCCCGATGGGAGTCGACCCGGACCCGAGTCATCAGCACCACCCCGCGATACTAATCCTGAATAAATCACCAGGCGGGATAACCTATGCCCTCGAGAAGAAAGGCCATACATTCACCTTCATCAATGGACGAGTGCAAACCGAGGGTGAACCCGGTAAGTCAGATGACCCCTCATCTGATTCGAAACCTTACCCAAACCAAACCAACCCCCCCCCCCCCTCTTAACCCCCTCAAACCTACAATACCTAACATCCCATACCCCACGGGCAGAAATCAAGGACGTCTTCGACGGCCCCTTCTACAGCCACTACCCGCGCGACACCCGGCCGGGCGACAACCTGCGCCTCGCGATCGAGTACGTGCAGCAGATCATCGCGACGGAGGGCCCCTTCGACGGCGTCATGGGCTTCTCGCAGGGCTGCGCCCTGGCCAGCGCGATGATTCTCCAGCACGCGGAGCAGCACCCGTCCGCGGCACCGCTGTTCAAGCTGGCCGTGTTCATCTGCGGCGCCTCTCCCTTCGACGCAGCGGGGATGGAGCTGATCGAACCTACCACCCAAAAGTACCCCATCACGATCCCCACGACGCATATCGTGGGCAAGCAGGACCCGCTGTACCCGCACAGCATGCGCCTGTACGGCGTGTGCGATCCGGCGCAGGCGGAGTTCTACGACCATGGCTCGCGGCATCTGGTGCCCTTTGATGTGAAAAACACGGAGGCGATGATTGCGGCGGTGGAGGGGTCGATTCGGAGGGTTTTGATGGGGGGGAATTAGATATTCCTTTTTTTGTTGGGGGGGGGGGGAGCGAGTATATATGATCACTACTATGACACAGCAAGTACGCTTTTGATTTCATGCAGATTATTGAGTTTTCTTTGCGTGTCAGGGCGAAGGCAAAGGCGAAACATATCTCAGTCCTGTTTCCTGACAACAGGATCCCGCTGGTTCGCCTTGCCCTTGGAATCACCGAATCGCGAGAGCAGAACCGCAAGCAACAGAACAACAATGGCTAAAGCGAGGCTGAAATTGACCATCGGAGACCCCCTGCCCCCCCAGTGGCCCCAAGTCTGTACAGAGGTATCATGATGAGGTTGATCATAAATTCATAAGCCAGCAGCAGCACCGTCGGTCTGCCCCTCGCCCTCCGGGGGGATAACACTATGCAGGAACTTCTCAAGATCCTCAATCTCCTCGGGATCGGCGGAGTGGCCCAAATATCTAGGAAAACCGCGAGTGTGAGCCGGAAGATCGCTACGGCGGGAACGACGCGAAGCCTCAAACGGGGAATACAGCACGTACGGGTAAGAGTGGAACTCGACCTTCTCCAGGTCGAGCGCCTTGAGCTTCTCGCTGGACTGCTTGCCGAAGTCGAAGCGCACCACCTCGTCCTCCTGGCCGTGCGCGAGGAAGAACGGGGTGCCCTGGTTCGGGAAGCCCTCGGGGATGTAGTTCTTGATCCGGTCGCTGAGGAGCAGGTAGCAGGACAGTCCGAACACGCCGCCCAGCTTCTCCTTGTTGGTCAGCCCCGCGAACAGCGACATCGCGCCGCCCTGCGAGAACCCGCCCAGCACGATCCGCGACGCGCTGATCCCCTTGTCCATCTGCTCCTTGATCAGGCTGTTGAAGTACTCGCGCGAGCGCAGGATGCCCGGTTCGTCCTGGTTGCGGATGGCTTCTTCAAAGTCCAACTATGATCGGTTGTTTAGTGGCATCGTTCCCACACACTGTAAGGTATATCTCTCGCGGCGAGGGGCAACTCACATCACGTCCGAGCTTAGTGATGTCGTACCAGCCGGGCATCGTCATCCCGAAGTTCTAATCAATGACAAGTATGGGCTCGAATCAGTCCACTGCGTTGCTGAATCAGAAGGGTATCGCGTATGCTCGTACCACGGTGATGGGGATCATCGGCGCGTTGGGGAAGATGAAGGCGACCTCGTCGAAAACGCCACGGCGGCGCCAGTTCTGGGCGAGTGCCATCCTGTCCAGATTGCTTTATTCAGCCTCACTTCATCCATTGTACTATAATCCGTCGCGCTAAGCCGAGTTCGTAGGTATTCATCCGTGAATAGAAATCAAGGGGGACATACCATCCAGCACCACTAGATTTATTCACCAGAAGTTAGTTCAAGAACGGGATCTTCAGTATAGGGACGGGAGACCGTTTACCTGTCGCCCAAACCATGGGCCATAATCACCGTAGCGGTGTGCTTGGTGAGCGCGGGAACAACGAAAGGAGCGCGAGAGGACATCTTGGTCTATTCTAGTCTTTCGTCAACGGGAGAAACACAGGGAAGCGACAAGGTAGTCTGTAATTGCAGAAAGATGGGCCCTGGATTTTGTCCCATCTCTCCCCGCAATTCTGCCGCCAGACTCGCCGACTCACCGCCTCGGCTGTCCCACCCAAAGGATCCAGAGGTTCGAGGCCCCCTGGTGCCTGAATCCACTCGCTAAATACTCCGTATAGCGGATCAAGTCGGTTGGCATTAGAATTAACGGTACTTGGGTACTAAATACTATGTGCAGGCCCTCCGCAGCCGCAGGTCGCAATATATGGTGATGAATAACAGCAAAAGAAATCTCCCCTCTCATGACCCCCAGTTTATTGTGCCGCAAGATGCACCAACTTCTCCACCGAGTCAATCATGCCCGAAACCAACTCCGGTTCCACGACACCCTTCTGCCATCCAAACGACAGGACTAAACAGCCATCACCACCCGAGATCGCCGACACCACGATCGCGGCGCCCGCAGCGTTGGGGCTCTGCGAGAAGATCACCCGACCCATCTGGGGCTTCGAAGGGTCTGACCGGGCCTCATCCGACGCACTCAGGACCCCGATATTCGAAAGCTCGATACTCTCCCCACGAGGCTTCCCGAGCTTCGATCGGAAAAACTCCGAGAAACCGGACACGTACTTGAGGAGATTCACGCCGGTGTTCTTCCCCTTCATCGCGACCACGCGCTCGATCGTCTCCCGCGAGCGCTGCGCCTCCTTCCAGGGGAAGGCCCCTGCGTCGGTGACGGGCAGGCTCTTGCGCCAGTAGCTCTCCCCGAAGTCCATCACCCAGACGCCCAGCGATTTCTCCGGGATCGGCTGGGTGAGCCACTTGCGGACGGAGATGGCGCCGGTGAGCCGCAGCTTGGTGCACTGCGGCGGCAGGTGCGCGAACAGCGCCTGGGCCATGGCCGCCTGGACGGCGGCCGTGACGGTGGCGCCGTTGCGGCGACAGCTCTGGCGGAAGGCCGCCGACACCGCGGCGGGGATGACGAGGTGGCGCGCCCGCGCCTCGAGCGGCGTGAAGACCGGCGCGCCCGTCCAGAGCCCGCGGTCCCGCCCGCCGAACTTCATCTTGACCACCGCGCCCAGCAGGAACGGGAGCGAGATGCCGCAGGGATGCGCGGCCTCCAGGTTCGGCGGGAGCGGCGTGCCCGCCGGCGTGGCCACGATCTGCTTCGCTCCCTCGCCGCCGGGCGCCGTGCTGCTCAGTGCCGACCCGGCTGCGCTCAACGCCTCCAGGAACGTCTCCTGGAAGATCTTCCCGGACGTGCCGTCGCCCAGCGCGTGGTGGAAGATATACGCGGCCGTGAACCGTCGCCGCGCCGATGCATCGTCGTTGTCCTCGTCGTCGGCCGTGAAGATCGCCAAGCGCCAGTACGGTGCCCCCGGCGTCGTGAACCCGGTACTGTGCTGCGTCTCAAGGAATTCGTCCAGCTCCGTGTCGGTGGCGTCCCCTTCGGGCAATCCCCGCAGACGCTTGTGGAAGCTCACCGGCTGCGCGAGGTCGATCACCGGCAGGCGGACGAAGTATGCTTCGTCGGACTCCTCGTTCACGGGAACCGCCGAGAGGGCGGGATGCTGGCTGATTAGAATCTCGCACGCCTTGTACACATAGTCCCGCAGCGGACGCGTGTAGGTCTCCGGTAGCGTGTATGTGGCGGTGACGCCGACATTGTAGTAGAACCCGAGCGGATGGCGGGCTATGGAGTACTTCTCCAAATATCCTGGAGGCCGTGGAGATCAGTAACAGTGGTCCCATATCGTGGACCCCAGATAAACTCACCTGCTGCACGTAATCTTTCGTAATTCTCCATATTTGCAAAAGAATTGACCTCAACAACTACTAAATCGAAAAGGAGAGAAAATACCCCGATTTCACGTGACAACCAAAGAACAATAGGGAGAAAGTCTGGCAAAAGTCGAGATTGTTTTGACGAAAGAACGAAACAAACGGGCTCGGGGCGATAAGATAAGGTCCCCGACAATTGGGCCAACGGCTTTTATATCGGCTAGGCTCAAAACTCCGCGGTCGATGCCGTATTAGGAAAACTTTGCGACTTTGCTGCTGCCTACAAGATATAGGAAGTAAAGTATGGTACGGAGTGGCTGGGTGTCAATCCGAGATCATTTTCCGGTAGTGTTGGGACTAAGGTACCTAGATATATCTGCGCGGGTTTGGTTAAAGCAACCAACAAGGAGGAGGGGGTTGTTTGTTTTGTAAGCACTGCATGATTGCCGGGTTGGGCAAGTCACGAATCACCTCTAAAGGTATGTGTATCCGAACTGAAGGGTCCAGCCAAGGAAAGCATCAATCAACCTGCAGGTAAACTGGCTTTTGGGGTGGGAGCTGGTCGAAAATGCCATTAATGATGTTTGGGATTCTGTTTTGTTTTGCCTTACAATCGCGGGTTCTTGAGCGTATGGGAGTTTACTCCAATAAGTTTGGCTATCCACTGTATCTGTTTACTGTACTAAAGCAAGATGATACTGCAGATTGCATGCATTCAATATACGCAAAGCTGAAAGCAAGTAAAGTAGCAAGGCACGAGGTGTCTCCTCCAGTTTTGTCACATGTCCATGTCCTTCACATTAAGGTAGTATCGAAAACCATAGACAACTAAAATGAATATGTACAGGGTAGATACAATCGCCATATAAACAAGCGTTGTGTGGGAATTTATCGTCAAATCATGATCGATCCTTCGAAAATGTTATTCGTTGGGCTTTTTATCATCTCGTTCTCTTTTTGTCTCACCCTCTCTCTCTCTCCAGCCATACCATCTGCGCAGAGCAGCATCCTTCCACGATTAAGGAGTGAGCATTGATGTAGCACGAAGGTCTTCGCTTCGTTTACAAAACAGCAAGACCACCGACAACAGCGGCACCGAGCATTCCCCAGGCAGCGGTCTGCAGAGGAACCGCAGCACCAGTGGAGGTAGCAGTGCTGCTGGAGCCGCTCGCGGAGGACGAGGAGCTGCTGCTGCTGCTGCTGGACGAGGAGCCGTCCTGGGCACCGCCGGTGGCGGTCGACTCGTTGGCGTTACGGTCCGCGGCGGCGCCGGTGAACTCGACAGCCTTGACGCCGGTGTTGTTCTTGCAGGTCGAAGGCTCGTCGTAGCTCACGGTCGAGGAGAATTGGATGTCGGCGCACTGGTTCCGCCCAACTGGTTAGCAAAGCCGTTGCAAATCCAACAGCCAGGATTGACATACCGCATAAAGACCTCCAGATGGATCCCCGTTGCTCTGCACCTGGACGGTGGCGTTCATGCCGTCGGTGATGTTGGTGCCGAGGATGGACTCATCGAAGGTGATGTGGGGCAGGCAGAAGGCACCCAGGCCCTCGATCTCGAAGGTCTTGTGCAGGGTGATGTTGAAGTTGGTGCCGGGGTCGGTGCCCAGGGCGAGGAGCACCTCGACCGCGGTCTGCGAGTGGCCCATGGACAGCGCGACGGGGAAGGAGCCGGCGGAGATGGAGACCTGAGTGCGGTTGGTGGACTGTGCCGCACTGCCGCAGGGGAAGTTGACCATGTTGTCTTCGGTGCCATCGCGGCTCGTGGGGTACTTGAGCTCGAAGTGGGCAGCGGCCAGGGGGGCGAGAGCCGCCAGGGGGAGGATGGAGAACTTCATGGTGAAAGAGGTACAGAGGCACAGATCTTGCTACAAAAAGACAGAGGAGAGTGGGAGAACTTTATATAAGAACGGGGCAGGTGGGAGCGCCAGCAGTGAGTGGATTTGGACGGCGGATTCGGCGGAGGAGGAGGAATGGGGAGAGCTCTGTCAGCTCGGTTCCGCCAAATTGATTAATGACCAAGACCGAAACTTCTTAGGTAGTCTACAAGATGGAAGGGACCCATGGCTGCAGTGCATCAATTGGGCCCTGAGTTTAGTTCCAAAGGGTTCGTTTACCCGCAATCATCCACCATCTTCATCCATTTCAATTCCGGGTTGTTCATCGGTTCTTCTGCAGGGTGGAATTGGCAGCTCCCAGTCAAGGCTGGAACGGGCCCCGGGCGACACTAAGCCAAATTGAGTTAAGAAATGTGCTCATTTCTTCTCAGGGCGCGGGCAAATCCGAGGCAGTTCCGAGCCTGTCTTCGCTTGAGGCACACGCTCTTATCAGATAGAGCTATCAATCAGTTATTGAACAAAATAAGATTGTGTGAGCTTCACTAATTCGGAGGTAGAAGAGGTGAACATCAGCTTGCAGGAAGTCAATTAGCTTGCCATTTAGAAATCTTCCCATATGATGGTACGGACACCTGATCCATAATGTACCGAACTTCCCCTTCCGTCGCTTGTGTACGAGGTAGAACCAAAGATTCTCGTGCGGAGTAACCACCAGCCAAGTCACTCGGGCACTCACCACCAGAGATGACAGGCATCTCCGGTTCGCATCGAAACATCAGCCCAAGTAGAAAACTCATAATAATCCACCGATCATGGCGTCGATGAGCTTGTTCCAACGAATCTACTATATTTTAAATCCACCCACTCCCGCGAAGAAGGATGGCGCCATTCGCATCGGTCTACTCGGAGCTTCCAACATAGCGTAAGCCAATCCTTGAAGCAGTAGTATGCAGTACTTGCGTTTCCATCCTGACTGATATCCTTCTAGCCCGAACTCAGTCATAATACCGGCCAAGTCCCATTCCGAGGTCATCATCGCAGCGGTTGCTGCCCGCGACTCAGACCGCGCTCAGCAGTATGCTAAGAGATACGACATCCCCATCGTGCATAGCTCATACCAAGGTCAAGCACGACCCCATCACCTGGCCCATCCGGGAAATTGGCATTACGAGGACCGAACAAATCTAACTTCAGAGCAGAGCTCCTCGACGACCCCACCATCGACGCCGTCTACATCGCGCTGCCCAACTCGCACCACTACGAATGGGCCCTCCGCTCCCTGCAGGCAGGCAAGCACGTCCTCCTGGAGAAACCCTCGTGCTCCAACGCCACCGAAGCCCGCAAGCTCTTCACCCACCCGCTCGCAACCGCCCCCCATGGCCCCGTCCTCCTCGAAGCCTTCCACCACCAATTCCACCCGGCCTGGCAGACCTTCCTCTCCCTGACCCGCCAGACCCCCTGGGGCCCTGGCACCGTGGTCGACACATCCTCGCAATTCTACCTGCCCCGGGGCTACATCGCGCGCGATGACATCCGCTTCCAGTACGCCCTGTCCGGCGGATGCCTGATGGACCTGGCGACGTACCCGCTCTCCTGTGCGCGCCAGGTTCTGAACCTCTCGACTAGGCGAGAGGAGGACCTGGTGGTCGTGGAAGGCCAGTACACCCCACCCCGCCCGCTCAGCAGTTCCGACTGCCCTCCGTTTCACGATGCGCAGCAGATCGACACCGCCATCTCCGCCACATACCAGACCGCCGACGGCCTCCGAACAGCTCACATCGCAGGCGATCTGGCATACACAGCAGCGGCGGCGGCGGCGGCGGCAGCGCAGAACAGCAGCGGGTTTCTCTCCCTGCTACCAACCACCTGGTCCCGAGTGATGCCCTGGTTCGCGTGGCCCAAGACCGAGGCCACCCTCGCCGAGATCCTGGTGGCCTCGCAGGGCGGCACGGAGACGCAGCACTTCGTGCAGCGGACCGTCGCGATCTGGAACATGATCCTGCCGACGGTGTACCACCGCATCGACGTGCGCGACACGCATACCCTCTACCGCAAGGGGAAGCTGTCCAAAACCTGGGAGGAGGTGCAGTACCTCAAGGCGTATAATTGGCCCGCGGGGGATCAGCGGGCGGAGACATATCAGGAGTGGTGGACGACGTGGCGGTGTCAGTTGGAGGAGTTTGTGAATCGGATCAAAGGGAGGAAGGGGTCCGGGGTGTGGGTTGATGGCGAGGAGAGTGTCAGGCAGATGGAGGCGGTCGATAAGACGTACCGGCGGGTGGGGTTGGAGGTTCGGCCAACGAGTGCGTTTGATGTGTGAGGAGGGGTTTTGTTTTTTTAACTTGTGTTTGGGGGTAATTTTGCTTGTGCTTGCGAATTGTGAACAGTTATCTCGTAGAGCGTTTCATCTGACTCTTCAGTTGTAACTATTTGATCTTTGCTCTCTTGTCTTCTTGTGAGCTTCGCATGGACTTCCTTAAATCGCTATTCAGGATCTCGGCAGGACGCCTATTTCCGCGCCAATGAGACCCGGCCGATCGACTGTTGATCATGCCATATTGCGGCTGTCTCCGGCCAACCTGCAAGCGACACTCGCCGGCTGAACATGAAGGGTTTTATTGTTGTTGCAGACCGTAACGTTCTACATCGAGGCTTACTGATCGCTAGACAGTTTATGGTCAATGATGATATGTACGTATCTTCAGCATCCATGTCTATATACAATCCACCCATCCACACCCCACGGGACATAGAAAACACCAGCTATGCCTCAGACGAGCCGAGCCCATCACCAACTAAGTATATCGTAAACGGTTCGTGTCGAAAAAAAAGGTATCTCAGAGTAAAACAAACCCCCATGCTAAGCCGCAATGCAAGCAAAATCCAACGCCCACTCAACACCTAAAGAACACAGCGACGAAAAGCAGTTCAGTGATCATGTTCATTCCACTGAATATACCGACCCACCGCGAGTTCCCCAAGGAACGCGCCGGCCAGGACAGAGCAAAAGTAGCCCACGTTCATGGTCATGACGGCCAACATGCTGCAGCGATACACCATTAGCTTTGAGTGGGCCCGATGGAAAGGCACTGAGAGGGGAGATATGCGGAGACGTACAGTAGATACGACACGCCCGTGATGACGAGGAAGATCAAGGCGCGGGGCAGATCCACGCTGAAGCGCCAGGGGAGGGGCTCGCGGGCGGTGCGGCGCACGACGCGAACGCTCTCCTCGACGCCCTGGGCGGTGATGAGCGTGGCCCCCTTGGCGTCCGGGTCGGCGTCGATGCGGCCCGCCTCGGTGGATTTGCCCGCCACGACGACGTACCGCCGCTGCAGGTGCGCGCTGAGCCACCGCTGCTCCATCAGCGCCTTGAAGGCCACCAGCAGCCGGCCGATGATGGCCAGCACGATCAGGAAGATGCACGTGCCCGCGTAGCTGCCGCTGGAGGTGGGCGTCCATTGCGACGAGAAGAGCGGGGTTGAGTGGCTGTTGGTGAAGACCATGGCCATGGACATCGAGGATGAGGAAGAGCTGGAATCCATACTGCTCATGTCCATAATGGGCGCGGGGTTGGAGGGGTAGGTTGGTTTGGCTTTTGCGGGCTGATGGAGGGTGGTGGTCTCGGATATAAGGTGATCAGATTGATTTCGGGATGAAGGTGGGTTTTGTAAGATGAGAGAGCATCAAAGAATCAAGACAGCGGACAATGTTAGTTGAAAGGAAGAGGATCAAGAAAGAGGAGAAGAAGAAGAAAGAGGAGCAAGAAGAGGGCCGACCCGCGACGATATCTTAGCCATGGCGGGCCACCACCAGCAGTCAGTTCTGGATCCTTGAGTTTGATCAAGCCGGGACGGGCGATAATCATGTTCTACCTAAATTGAAGCGAAGACCTTCATTCCGAGATTGAGCACATTTTGGCCCGACTCGGTTTGGCGCTTGAGCACATTTTATGTCTAACGAGCCAATCACGGGGCGCGGAATCGCCCGCCAGCCCGAAAGCAGCGGACAAGCGGGCGGTGGAGGTGAGCAGATTATGACTACTTCCATTCGTTTGCAAAGTGAGAAGATTATTATCAATTCAATTCCTGGTTATCATGGCTCCAGACAGGTGGGGATGGCACTGGGCATGGCATGCATGGCTGTTTAGGTCTGCTCTTGTGGAATGGTCCCATCCAGCCTTGTCTTGTCTACCATGCATTTCCCCCCCCACCCATGATTTTATTCCAATTTCCAACTCATCACTTAACTTACCCACTTACTCTTACTCTTACATGTACTCATGACGCCGCACATCACTGCGACATGAAACTCTGAATAGCCGACAACCTCCCCCTCCTCTCAGTAACAGACGGGTTGTGTGTGTTGTGTTGCTGCTTTAAAACGAGATGCGTTGATATTCCGGCCCTCCCTTTCCGTATATCGATTGTCCTTCACCAACTCCTCCCGGGGATAGTGTCGTTTATTGTCCATCCATCTATATTCGACCCCCGCTAATCACCGCCAAGATGGACATGGACATGTCAATGTCGGGCATGGGCCACATGTCCATGGGGGCTGGCGTGCCCGGTCTCTTCTATCTCCAGAAAATGTACTGGGTGGTCATAGGCAGTGCTATCGCCGCGGGTAACGTGGTGAATCTCCTCAACCGCTACCTCGCCTATCAAAGGTCAGTGAATTCTTCATGCAGGCCAAATATTGCGGTGCTCACCTATGCAGACTTCGGGATACCTCCCTCACTCCGTCCAAGCCCAAGTCACTGTTCTTCAACACATATGCCACTCTCACGGCAATTGTCCGCGAGGCAAGCTATGCGACGCTGCCTCCCGTATCGATCCGCAGCCACACCTTCCACTTCGCGCCATTGGGGCCAGTGGCTGTTGTGCTGGCTAATCTGGTTGTCGTACTTGTCTTCTGCTTCTACAAGCTGGACACCACGGATCAATGGAGCTGGGAGGATGTGGGCTACCGGACCGGATTCGTGGCCATCGCGCAGTTGCCCCTGATCTTCCTGCTAGCCGGGAGACAGAATCTCATCGGTGCCCTGGTAGGCATGAGCTATGAACGGCTGAACTGGTACCATCGCTGGGTGGCCCGAACGCTCTGGCTGACGGCCACGATCCACATGGCCTTCTGGTTCCGCGACTGGGGTCGCTACAACTATATCTCCTACGAAATCAAGAACTACCCCTTGATTGCTCGAGGACTAGCCGCGTGGGTCATTTTGACCTGGATTGTGATCACTTCCGCCGCCCCGATCCGGAGGTTCGGATA